ACTTTAAATACTGGTACGTTAACCACCAAAAAATAAAAATCGAAAAAAATTTGCAAGTGAACTACTCAAATTTTTGTATTCGTGTTTTAAAAATAAAAAGCTCGGTTTTCAAAATGTGTCCATCAACACTAGAAATACTGTGGAAAATCGACATACCTTGAAAGTCGGACAGGGATATTATATGAATTTTACTAACACAAAATTTTAAATAGATAATTTTTTATTCATTTTAAAAATAAAATTAAAAATAAAGTTTTATTTTTACACATATATTGTATTCTTAATTTAGTAACCAAAAGATAAGAATATGCATATTTGCCAACAGAGTCAATTAACCCCTATCCGTCCTTTTTAGGTAGTTGTACTATTTAATAAGATTGAAACACAACAATATAATCGGGGTACTTTTAAATTGAATTTTATGTACATATGTGTGTATTTTTAATAAAAATAGCGAAACACCTGCATATGTAGATTCAATGCTGTAAGCGTACTTAGTTTTTAGTTTATAAATATTTGAGTAGAACGTCGTTTATCCCCTCCACCTCCTTTTCCAGCACACTTCCTTACCACCCGCGCACGCAGCCTGCTCCATCAGCAGCTGGCAAACGTCGAAATCGGATGGCGGCCATACTTAATTTCATCGCTTGCCAACGCAAGTTTTACACCAGCTAGTAAATAAATTGTCAGGCGACGTCACCGTGCAACAACTGCAATAACAACCATACTAACAACACCAGTAGCAAAAACAACTTTAACCTACAACACACAGACGCCACAGTAGCTATAACTAAGTCGAACAACAACAGTAAACAGCGCAATGAGCAACGACTCAACACATTTCCACCAATGGCAACAATAGTGGCTACTGTGCAACAGCAGTAACCACACCAACAACAACCATGGACACTGAATGTATGCGTGAGTAAAGCAACAACAAGACGCATCTACAATGAAATATCACTCCACCTACCAAGCAATGATGGGAGTGAGCAAGCTCCAATGGGCGCCGCTGATATGGTTACGAAGTATTTAATTGTTGACTTACGTACGTATATACATATTTAGGTGCGTGTGTGCGCGTATTTGCTGTGTGTTGAGCGAAAAAAAAATAAAAATTTATAAATATTTTTAATCGCATTTATGAGCGGTGCAAAGAAAAGCTAAAAACGCATGCGGCTTGGTACTTATGTGTGAGTAAACTGGCAGTACAATGGGAGAGTCTCAGCGCGAAAAGTGAGATAAAAAAGCTTATCGATGCGTGTGTTTGTAGGTTATTATATTTGCTCTGTACAATGGCTGCTCGTACTTAGATATATGTACGTACATACGCAACAGACTTGGAAATACGAGTATGGCTGTGCGTTTGTATAAAAATAAATAATAATAAAAAATATATGTATCTATGTATGTAAATGAAAAATTACCCTGCAAAAAATTGGACTAATCCGGGATGACTCCGGAAGCAATCGCAAAGGAGCATGCGACTAATACCACTTTTGATCTCTTTATATGGAATGAACTGATCGCTTTTGTTCGAGCATGTCCTATGAAGAGACTAATTGTTCACCTGTATACCCGAACGGGTATAAAAAGCGACTAGTCACTTTTAAAAAATAAAAATAAAAATTTGCGCCAGCTGAGATTCGAACCGGGGTGCTCAGGTTTGTTAGGCGAATACTCTCTCTGTGTGCCAACGCCGCACATGAAATTTCATTGACTAAGTCCGTACATATCATTAAATCGTTAATAGTACCCGTTAGAGATAAGTTGGGGACTAATTGATCTCCAATTATACCCATAAGGGATGAGTCGAGACTAATTGACCTCCATTAGTACCCGTATGAGACTAGTTGGGACTAATTAATGCCCAATTGTACCCAATTGAGAGTAATCTCGGAATACTCTCTTTAGAGATTAGTCGCACAATTTTTTGCAGGGGAGCAAATAATGTGGAGCATATGTATTTACATATACACTCAAATGTACATACATACAAACATGGCACACAGGTATGGTAACCCGTTATTGGTAGTAACCGCAATAATAAAACTGATATCAACTTGTTTAATAACAATGGCAGTAGCGTTTAATAACAAATGGCAGGAACAACAAAAACTACAGCGATAAAAACCACACTGTAGTAGCTTGCTACCGTTGGCCGGGAAATAAAAAGCTTGAAAAGCAACGGCGCAAAGATTCTTATCAAGATCGCATGAATGCGAAGATAGGCATACAAAAACATACTTATTTGGTCTGTATATATGTATGTACATACATAAATACATATGTGGGTACAAACCCATCCAAGTAGATGCACGTGGCTTTATTAACATGCCACTTACATTAGTTTTAAAGTCCACCGTTACTCGCTTACCAATTTATTAAAAAAAAGCAAGGAGCGTTCAGCGGTTTCTAGATTTCCAATCTTCTACTTATTTTTTTTTTTAGCTATATGAACATACGGTCTATCGGGCCATACCACAGTACACAATATCAACTAGCTTCACTACAAATACTGTGAGTGGATCAGTTCTTTCAAAAATTAGTGCTTTAGTCCCAACTCTGTTCTAAGAGGGCTGCAGACCGCTCCAAAAATCTTCGCGGCTCGGTTCAGAGCTTCGAACCATGTAGAAAAAATTGCACCGATGCAATAACCGGGTCGTGAAACACGGTTCGGTTCCGCCAAAATGGTTAAATTTTTTTATACACTGAGAAAAAAAAAACAAATTGCCTTTGTTTGGGGCCAAATGACCCTTCTTTATTTTAAAAGGATTAATTTTTGAGGTTTTTCGTTTGAATGCGATCTCGTTCCACACTTCACAGACGCTTTTTTCGTAATTAAGAAAACCCTCCAAAAAACATCGATCAAACAAACTTTATGTTTAAGTTTGTTTAAAAAAAATATTTTTTATATTCAGAAATTTCAAATCGCTAACATGAAAAATAAAATGAAAATTACTCAGAAAAGATGACGTAACTTTTTTCTTAGTGCACTAAAAGAATCACTAAAATATGACAAATAACATCTAAAATGGTTTCTGGGGGATTCGTAGGGCGTATTAAGATCTTCTTATATATTTTTATCAATGTTAAAACATTTTGGAGTAGTTAAAAATTTTCTAAAAGCATGTTTAACCCTTATTTTACATGAAAAAATTTTACGACTTTACGACATGTGAATACCCTAATAACATAAATCTGGGGTGGTGAAAATTCTCCGGCCATGGCCAGAAATTTTTGAGATTAGAAATTGTTTTGCTTTGTGGCAAGGTGCGCCATCTTGCTTACAAATGTATTCGTCTTTACTATCTCTGTTTTGCCCAGCATGCGGTATGAGCACCTTCTTTAATATCTGCAAATATTTTTCCTACCACATAACACCTTCCTCGAAATAAAGTGGTCATATTCCCACTGAGCTAATAGCTCCCAACATCACAACCGAAGAAAGAGCTCTTCCTTTGCCTTTGAACATATTTTACTGCGTCAGTAGGATTGCGTATCGTACTTGTATCACTAAAGTAAATCTGGAGATAATTAGAAAATAGTCGCTTCCTATATTGTTCCAAATCCTTATAACCTTGTTCCTATAGTCATTACAAAACTTTAGTCTCGAGACTACAATTAGTTAGTTTTGTTTATGTGGTAAGTCGGCATTTTTTCTAGGACCGAGAAGATAACATCATTTTGAAGTTATTATTGCAAGAAATTTGATAACTGTTCTAATGATATAAACCCTTATTGTCTCCATAGTTCTCAATTCTTTTTTTCTACCAGCACCTTCAGAGGCTGCATTTGTTGTGAAATAAAAATTATCAGCAGTGTAATACATGTGAATTGGTAGAGAAGTTAGAATAAACTGAAATATTAGACTGTGCTCCTCCAATTACTGGTGAAGCTTCCTTTCTCAAGTAATACCGATGTAGAAATGAAAAATTTTTATTCCTTTACATAGTGGATATAAAACTTTATGCAAACTAAAGTTTTTCAGTTGAGATTTTCCCCATTACATTGATTTAAAAAATAAAACACCAAAACGAGTTTCTTGAGCGTTTCTGTCCATTCGAACGACGATTAACTATTATGATTTGATAAAGTTTCGTAATTATGTTTAGTAAGCGGTACTACGAGTTTAATGTAATTTATACTCAGTTTATTATTCCGTAAGTGCATTTTTTTGTAGATGAGATAACTACTGTTTACGGTAGACCAGTGTTAGTGACACAAACCTGTTTACTACTTAAAACATCACTTAAGATAAGCATATAATTAATAAGTGGTCATATTTGAAGGGTCAGCTAAAGTCGTATATAACTGCTGAGACATGGTCAAAATGGAATTGAAAGATAAATTCAAAAACTTATCTATTCGCCGCAAACTAAGTTTTCGTAATCATTGGGAGAGCGCTTGAATTAGTTGTTTATTTTTGTGAGCTACTACTAAATTTACTTGGTGAAATGAGTGAGAGCTTTCATGAACAAAGTCTCATTTCTAAAAAGAGCTAGGTTTTTATTTCAACTATTTCCCCTTCCTAATATTTATGGATATATTTGTTTCCTTTTCACTACTTGGCAGCATTTTCTCAAACATCCGCTGGCATTATTCATTTTGGCCAAGCCGAAGCCAAAAGTTGCATAAAATAGTACAAATCTTTTTGATTTATAAACGTTCAACTATAAATCTTACATATTTTGTGTAAACAGAAAATGTGAAAATGTTCACTTACAGGCTGTATGTAGGTAATAAAATTTTAAGAAAAAAAGTAAAAAATTAGTGCAACATTTTTAGATAAATCAAATGTGTGTAAACTAGTTCAGCAGCGCATAACTGCGCCGACATTGAATTGGACATTAAAGATTTATACATACAAGAATCACAAAAATTTCAATGAAAATTAAAAAAAAATATGAAATCATATTAAAAACCTTATCTTTTCACAGAGATACATATGTATGTATGAATGTGTATTTGTGTGAAAGCTTATTTGCTTGCCTACTCACCGTTAAGTGCTGAAACAGCCACGCTCTTAAGATATTTGTTGCTACTTTTGGGAAAATGCCACGTTTCTTTTGGTTCTTTTTACCATTCGCATCGTCGTCCTCTTCGCCTGTGCCTTCGCCGCTGCCTATACTGGCATTGCTGGCGTCACCTGCAAGAAAAGCAAAGAAAAATTATTAAGACTTAACTTTTGTTTAAATTTAATTAAGAAAACTTTTTCTTCACAGATATAATTGAATAACTTATTTTCGTAATAAGTAGCGCGTAAAATTATTTACATATGTTGAAAATATTATAAAAAATTTTCTAATTCAGCATTTATTATCGAGCTTTCACACTAAAGTAAGTCATTTCCGCTCCACAATAATATATAGCCGCTTTCTCGACTAGCGAAGCTCTTCATTTCCCATTTCCACCTACATTCGAGTACTAATGGCTTACCTTACCTAGCGCCTCAAAACTCCAAAATTCAGTTTTCACACCTCTTAAAATACAAGTTTTTCTTTGAGCCACAAGCTTAAATGTGGAATCCATTTTTTATAATTAAAAATTTATGTTTAGCAAAATAAAGAAAGAAATTAAAAATTTATATTTGATTGACTTTATTTTAAAACGATGAGTATATGAGTGTAGACATATTAATTTGTTATATATAAAGTAAGATCTTTCTCTTTAAGTAGCGAGAAACTTCCATGATCATACTAATTTTAAATCAGGAACGCTCAACATAGAGACTGAAGGCAAATCTTTTTAACGATTTCTGCATATTTTAAATCAGTCAGTAGATCAGTCAATCAGAGTAAAAACTTTTCAAAGATTTCTGTAGATTTTATATCGAAAGGAAACAGTGAACATAGGTACGCGAAGAGTTAAAGCTCTCCCTGGTCATTACTCTTTCATATGGCAAGGTATAGCGCACTCTGAACTTCGTTGCTTGAATCTCTCAAGATCAGATAAAGCTTTTACTCAATTGCCGGCGTTAAAAAACAGCGGCACCCAACTAATTACTCTCTGGGCGCCTATAAAAAATATATAGAAAGCTTTAAAAGCCCTTTACCGAGTGATTCATTTTTGCTCGTTACAGTTCTAATTCCAACCACAGCTGAAAGCTTTCCCAAAGCTTTTATTCTACCTTTTGATTACCACGACCAAAACATACACCGCGAGAGGAGCTTTTAAAGGGTTGCTATATATTTTTTAAGAGGGCAATTCTGGCTACCATAGTAAAAAGTCTTTCGTAAGACAAAAGAAAGACAGATGAATGGGTAGTTTGAAAGACTTTTGTTATTCTAGCACAAAAGTTTTAGAAAACAAGCTCTCTCATTCACCACTCGTGGTGAAAAGCTATTGTGAGAGAAACGGGCCTGTATGTAATTTAGCTCGCGTCACTACAACAGTCGCAATGGCCGAGTGGGCAAAGAACAGGTGCGCCAATCGAGAGATCCAAATAGAGTCATGACGCAGCGGATTTTTTAATTTTTGACGTTTTCTCATTTTCTCTCGTTTCCTCATTCACTTTTTTCTCTTTTCTCTTTCTTTCCGCAGCGGATTTTTTAATTTGTGACGTTTTCTCATTTTCTCTCGTTTCCTCATTCACTTTTTTGTCCTTTCTCTTTCTTTCCGTCTTCTGAATCCAACTTCAACTCGCAACGCCTTGTCGAAAATGAAAATTCCATTTGCTCGGTGCTAGCTCCGCGTTATTGTGGGATGCTCCATAAAAATTGTACGAGCATGAGGATTTTTGACAGTTGTTTGGCGCTCGACGCGCTAATTTAGGGACAGCAGTATATTCTTTTAATTTCATTTAATTTTTAAAAACTTATCTTATTAATTATTTTTTTCTTTTTCAATGTAATGTTTTTTTTTTAATTGAATTTTATTTAATTTTTTTAAAGAGAAAATGTTTCATTTTCATTTAATTTTGAGAAACTTATTTTATTTTTTTCTTTTTTAAATATTTTTTTCAGTATTTTAGATAAATTTAATATTTAAGATCTTATCAAATTTTTTGAATAGGTTTCTTTGTATTTTTTAACTAAAAATATATTTAATCCAGTTTAATTTTTAAGTACTATTTCCCTTTTTTTATAATTTTTTTCATTTTATAATTAGTTTTTTTGTTTATTAACTTGTATTTTTTAAAAAGAAAATAAATATGTTTTTTTTTTATTTAATTTAATTTAAAAAAAAAAAACTTATTTCTAAAAGGCGAACAGCATAACGCTAAGACCTTCTTACTAGCAGATCTTTCAATTAGTCTTTCGAAAGACAGTAAAGAGCTTTCAAGATAAGTAGTTGCCAAAATTGACAATTGTTTTACGAAATAATTTTGTCTTTCAAAAGACTATGGTGAGCCAGCCAGTTGGCAGTTGCCAGAATTGCCCTGTTAGGCTGATAATAATTTAAACTCTGCTAAAACTTAGATATTCAATCTTTTAAATAAAAAAAATATATATATATATATATATATATGTAAACTACAATAAACGCTTCGAAGCCTAAATATCGTGCATAACCAAATTATCTATATCTAGTATGTACAAGAGTGAAATTATTCACCCAAACTCTTCCCCACTAAACACATTGTTTGTTCTTCTCTCTTGTTTGGCTCATTTCGTTTGTTTGTAGAAAATTAATATTTGTCATTATGCTCGAATGCGGCGCATAATAATGCCCATGCATAATTTTGGTGTTAAATGAGTGTTTTGTTAATTTTCATTCAAGTTTATCTAACTATCCGTAAATTGTTGACTCGCTGCTCGAAGGCTTTCGCAGATGATGGCGTTTGGCCTGAGGGAGGGAGCCTGTTTATACGAAAATGTTTATATATTTATGTTGTGTAGCCGCACTATTAACATGCTGCCATACATACCTATGTACATACATACTTACTCACGTACAAATCTACCAATAATTACTGGCAGTAGATAACCACTGACTTACTGGCCCACGGTAGTTTCGTCTAAGCATGCAAACACTCACCCATGATCATTACAAAGTTATTTGTTTGTATGTATGCATAGTAATGTTATCATGTAATGCGCCTCATTGTTTTGTCTCTCAACGTAATGTTTATCATTTCTCTGTTTGATATGTAAAGTAGTAGTTTGCTTGTCGCAAACAACTTGAAATTTTCTTAAGACTGTTAATGTTGCAAACAACCGCACCTAAACACACTTACATGCATGCATACATACGAGTACTTCAAGCATAGTTTAAGTAGACATTTTCTAAAATCTTGAGAAATTATGTTATTTATGTTCGCTAGAGGATAGAAAAGTTGTTGTATGTTAGTTGATTTTCAACGCAAATCCTGCCACAATTAGTACGGAAGTTAGTTAAGCTGTGGTTGTTAGGTAAATTTCCGGTTGAGTTGCCTCTCGGCTGGCATGTCAAATACATACATAAGTCTTAGATAAAGAAATGATAAGAGTCCAGGTGAATGTTGATACTTCTCATACACATATAACTAGCATATTTACATCTGTATGTAGTTATAGCTACATATGTACAAGTGCGTATGCATACTACGTACATACCTCCATACATATGTATATACTTGGAATAATAGTCTGGGAACCCTGCTTGGGCTGAGTTTTTATGCAGCACCTTATGGTGCAGCAAACTCAGATAACAAAAGGACATACGTAAACAACAAAATTTTAATGAAAATCTTATTTTCATTTCTAGGGAGTACTTAGATTAGATTAAAGAGCACATGCTTGGGTATACTTGAAGTCGCATTTTTTAAGTAAAGAGAGCATGGTTATAACTGTTAAAAGACCCCAATTAATAAGATTTTGCATACAAATAAGTGAAGTTTTGATTTTAAGATTCAACGAATGCTTTTCGTGCACAAACTTAATGCAAGCAAAAATTATGTATTCGTCGAAACGATACTCAGCTAAAGAAGTACATCAAACACCGTCTCGATATCGGCACATTAGTTTGGAGCTTCCAAATTTGAATTAAATTTGAACGGAAATTGCCATCGAAATTTATATAATGAATAAGTATGTATATTATAGGGTGTTTGGCAAGGTGTTTCCAAATTTGTTTAAACGAATGGTAGTTTTTTTTTATTATCGAACTAACCGATTTTTTCCTTTCGGGCAAGGGCACTCCGAAAAAGTAAGAAAAATGCAATAAAGTATTTAAAAGGAGCTAAAATAATACCAAAGTGAATTTTTCACTGATTTTTATTTGTTCTACTTTTGACGTAATAAAAAATTTGAACTTAATTTGCTTTACTCTTTTCTAAATAAAAAACTATATTTTCTATTTATAGTTTTATTATAGTTTTTGATTATGACTTCATACCAACGTAAAATTTTCACTGTATGAAAACTATGTAAAATAAAACCGGTTCATCCGTTTTTTTCTCAATTTCAAAATCGGGAACCGGTGTTTTGAAATTGCAATTTTTCGAATAACTTGATAAACGGTTTTGGAAAAGGCGAATAATTGTACAGTCCAGTATATATATACACTTAATGCTTCTCATTCGCAACGTTGCAGGTATTTGGTATTCAGTTTGGTAAAAAATTAAATTAGTAAGATATCTTTCTAGAAAGTCTGCATTTTTTTCTTCAATTCGTTACGGAAATTCAGCAAATACTTTTGGTACTGCGTTTTTCACACCCATAGCAATGCCCCTTGATCACGATTCGGTGGACAACCCTCGACTGTGCGACCGAGCTCCTTCACGTAGTTGGAGCTTTTCTATCTAACCAGGAGATTATAAGATTTACTTTCGCAGTTTGGGTCACAGTGCTCCGTCGCTTGATCAACATATTGCTGCGGTTGACAAAGGACAGCTAAGTGCTTCGGAAAATGCACTACCAACGGTCTCTATCTATTTTCGATAGCATAGAGGGGTGAGAAACCCATAACGTCCATGTACCCGAAGGATGCCTAAGACAAAATTCACTTTCATGCGTTGGAGGAAGGCTACTGAGCATACCAGGCTACTGAAAAGAAATATGCGAATAAGCGAAAAAGGTTGTAGAAAGAGAGCGAAAGAGCTTTCAAAAAGGGAAAGGGTTTTGCCAACCCTCCGCCGAGTGTAGCTATTGTATCATCATACGGCACGGCTATTGCGAGTTGGCCAACACTAAGCTGCGGGTGGCACTTGCCATTTCAAACAAGGGC